TATATTTTTTATTGATTTTTTTACAGAGAGGAAGGGAGAGGGATAGAGAGTTAGAAACATTAATGAGAGAGAAACATCGATTAGCTGCCTCCTGCACACCCCCTACTGGGGATGTGCCCGCAATCCTGGCATGTGCCCTTTGATCGGAATCAAACCGGGGACCCTTCAGTCAGCAGGCCAACGCTCTATTCATTGAGCCAAACCGGTCAGGGCTATATTTTTAATATTACCTATAGATATACTTTTTCCAAAGGTAGCTTCAATAATAGATCCATTACAAGTCATTTCACTGGGGATTTCAATAATATCCATTCTGAGAGCTTTATATGTATCACGTATGCGCGAGTCAACGTTTATTTTTAAAATGCCAGTGCACGTCATATGTACTGGCCGGCCAGTCAGTCAGACGGTCGGCCAGACGGTCGGTCAGTCATTAGCCTTTTATATATATAGATTATGTATAACAGGATATTGTAAAAATTAAGTTATGAAATTTTTATTAAAATGTTTCTTACATACTGTTATATTGACTGGGCCGCAAAAATACTTGTTGTGGGCCGCATGCGGCCCGTGGGCCGAAAGTTTGACATGCTTGCTTTACACCATTATTTCTGTAGTGACTTGTTGACCAGCAATAAGTCCTCTGTGGTTCCCACCTCCTGGTATTCATACCACTCTGCAGTCTCTTCTCACACTGAGTAGGGCTGACCTGTCCCAATAGGATAAGGTAGAAATGACAGTGTGACTTTTGAGGCTAAGGGGTAAAGATGTTGTGGTTTCCATCTTGCTCCCGCCTAGAGCACTCATCCTGGGGGAAACCAGCCATAGACAGCAGGGACTCCAGGAGGCTGTGGGAAGAGGTCAGACCTAAGTCCTAGTCCTCTGTACTGGTTTCCTATTGCTGCTGTAACCAGTTACTACACACTTAGTGGCTTAAAATAACATGAACTTATTATTTTACAGCTTTACAGTTCAGGAGTCTGACAGGGGTCTCACTGGGCTAAAACCAAGATGTCAACAGTTCCTTTCTGGAGCATTTAGGGGAGAATCCATTTCTTTGCCCGTTCCTGCCTCTAGAAGCCACCCCTATTCCTTAGCTCATGACCCCTTCCTCCACCTTCAAAGCCAGCACATTGCACCTCAGTGTGCCTTTCTTCTGTAGTCACACCTCCCTCTGACTCTCTTGTTCTGCATCCCTTTTTCACTGTAAGGAACCCTTGTGATTACATTGGACCCACTGGATAATCCCTTTGTTTTAAAATCAGCATATTAGTGACCTTAATTCCATCTTCCACCTTAATTCCCATTTGCTATATCCTACACATTCACAGGTCCCAGGGACTAGGACATGGATGTTTGTGTGGCTGTTGCTCTGCCAACCATGCTGTCTGGAAGGAGAGGAGTGGGCCTGAGAGGGAGCAGCCAGGAAAAGGAGGTGGGCCGGCAGGAGAGGGACATGTCACAAAAGCCAGAGGAAGAGAGAGTTCCCAGGAAGGAGTGCACTGCAGTGACTAATACTGTTGGGAGGTCAAGCCTGATAAGAATTAAAAAATATCCGTTGGAGTTAGTGTCCTGATGACACCAGCCACTAGTTGGGGTAGTTTTGGGGGGCAGGAGCTAGTTTATGGTGTCTGGGCAGCAAGGAAGGAGCGAATAAGTAGAGACTGAGAGTGTAAAATCTTCACAAATACTTGATTGTAACAGAAAATGTGCTGCTGTTTCTAAACTAGGAAAGAGAAGCACATTTCGATGCAGATGAGAAGGAAGGAGAGGTATAGCAGCGATGGGTGTAAATGCGGTATCTGCGAAGGGGAGAGTGCCGCTAGCCCACCGAAAGCCTCGAAAGGAGGGACTGTTGGACTGACCCAGGCTCAGGGTTAGCCAGGCGGGCGCCACCATAGACCAGAGGTTAGGTTACCATCAGGGTGTGCTGAGGTGGTAACTGGGAATTTAAGGAAAGAGACACCGGCCGGCAGGAGGCGCTGGTGAGGCAGGGAGGAATTGCGGAGCAAACGACGGCTATTGTCGTCTTAATGGTATCTGAAATAATTTTAGGGAAAATGCTTGGTTCTTGATTGGATCGCACCACTCGCTGGATTTCCTGATCCGCTGGTCTCTAGGTCCTGGATGTCCCAACGCTTAGAACAGGGCTTGTCACAGAGTAACCGCTATATACCGTTAGCTGTAATTGATAGGCGTACGTATTGGTTAAAACGCCGCAGACTCCATTTCCCTTGAGGCATTGCGGCCGCTGGGACTACAACTCCTAGAATGCCTGGCGGGCCGTCTAGTCCCTGAGCGCCTTTAATCTGGTTTTCCAGTCCCAGCATTCCTTGCCGTTTCCCTACCGCCAGCAAGCCTATCCAGTCCTAGGAAAACCCAGCTGGATCCGGGAGTGCGAGACCCAGCCCGCGCTCGCGCCGACGGGCGGGGAGGGTGTGGCCACCTCTGCCCCGGGTGGGTGCGGCTGGCGCTCTGCCTCTCGGGCTTAGTGCTCTCGCTCTACGCACTGCACGTGAAGGCGGCGCGAGCCCGGGACCGGGACTACCGCGCCCTCTGCGACGTGGGCACCGCCATCAGCTGTTCGCGCGTCTTCTCCTCCAGGTGCGCGTGGGAGTGGGAGGCTTGGGGTACCGGGCTGTTCGTGGGAGCGGTGCATGGGAACCAGGTGTGCATGGCGGCCAGGTTGCCAGGTGGTTCTGGAGCAGATGCATGGGGACCGGCTGCTCCAGGGGACACTGCCCAGCGAATCGGGGGTGTCCGAGATAGGAATGAGGGGCCGGATTTGGGGGGGGGGGTGCAGATATTGCTGGGGACTATGGTTATTCCTGGGAGTAGCTCGTGGATCTGGATTCCAAGGAATAACGGTGACCCGGCAGGAGGGGGAGGTAATGTGTAGGGACCCATGCTGCTCATGAGGATGGCCGTGCCTGGGGATAAGGTGGCCAGGTCTGGCTATGCTTGAGGGCCTGGGGTCAGTGGGATGACCGAATACAGAGGAGGCAATGGGCGGCCAGGGAGCTGGAGAGTTAGGGGTCCAGGCCAGAGAGATTCTACCCCGGATTCCCAGTCTCTGGTAACTCTGTAAAGCAAGGTCAACTGTTATTTCCCACCATGCCATCTTAGAATTATTGAAGGTCTAGGATGAAAAGAGGGGCCCAAGGAGGAACCTTGGCCAGGCCTGGTCTGGGAATGGGGGAAGAGAGGAGCAAACACATGGAATCCTGACGTGGCAAAGGGAAGCTTCACCAGGAGGTCATCGACCCTTGGCCTCAAGCTGGGTAGGGAAATGGCGACATAGGGAAGGAGGACAGCCAAGATGGCTTCTATTTAAAAAGAAAGAAAGAAAGAAAAAAAAAATATATATATATATATTTAAATTGGTTTTGGAGAGGAAGGGATGGAGACAGATATAGAAACATCAGTGATGAGAGAGAATCATGGATCGTCTGCTTCCTGGGGGTGAGCTCACAATCCGGGAAGTGCCCCGACCAGGAATCATAGGTCTAAGCTCAACCACTGAGCCACACCAGCCGGGTCAAGTGGCTTCTTGGAAATCACCCCTTCAGGACAGGGCCCAGGGCACTGGGTTGACGACACTCCTTACCTGGGCCTTCCCCTCCACCAGGTGGGGCCAGGGCTTCGGGCTGGTGGAACAAGTGCTGGGTCCAGACAGTGTCTTCAATCAATCCAACAGCATATTCGGATGCATCTTCTACTCACTGCAGCTGTTGTTAGGTAACTGGCCCCGCCCCTTCATGGCAGCCCTTCCTTTCCAGCCCCATTGCTTGCAACCTCGGGGGCTCTTAGAGCTGACGGAGGTGGGAACTAATAGGAGCCTTTCAGTTGGTCTTGGAAGTGTCAGAGTCAGAAGGACCCTTAACCACTTCCGAGGGCACCACTTTTGTTGGAAAGACTCGGGAGTTCTTTTCTGGGGGAATCTAAGGGTTGTTTGTCTTTCATCTCATGTGGATGACATTTCAGTAGGAAAATGCAGTATTTGGGTCCCAGGGATCATTGCACAGAGAGGAAAACCAAGGCCTTGAGGGGCCTGTCAGACCCTCTGATTTTAGAGATTTCCCCAGCAGCCCCTGCTGCCTGGGTGGCACCAAAGTCGTGGCAGTTTCTAGAGGTGGCTTGTCCCTGAAGCCCATGTTTGACCCTTTTCTTCCTCGCAGGTTGCCTCTGGGGCCGCTGGGTGTCTGCCCTGCTGCTGCTGAGCTCCCTGGTGTCTCTCGTCGGCTCCGTCTACCTGGCCTGGATCCTGTTCTTTGTGCTCCATGATTTCTGCATTGTTTGCATCACGACCTATGCCATCAACGTGGGCCTGATGGTGCTCAGCTTCCGGGACGTCCAGAGACCTCAGGGCAAGGTCAAGGGGCACTGAGCCCTCACTGACCTCTTATGCTCTGCTTTGGTGTGTCAGCTTTGCCAAAGGCAGCACGCCTGGGTCCTAGAGGAGTCTACAGCCCACCTCCACCATACTCCCCACACAGGACAATGGACCAAATGTGCCACACTCTTTCCTCCACCTGGTGCCTCTGGCTCTGTCCCCAAGGATTGATTTCCAAAGCTCCTGCCTTTGCCCCAGGAGGGAAGGTTCTGAGCAATAAAATTTCTTAAATTGGTTAAGTCTGAGCCACCTGTCTGCCACGGGCCCTAACTCTTGCCTCCTCTGGGACTGGAAGGATATGAGTTGGAGGGAGAGTGGGGGGTCTGCTTGGGAAGGGTGGTTAGTTCCTTCTCCACAGCCTTCATGTGGAGTCAGCAAGACCGGGGCGCCCCCAGCTGCAGGAAACAGGCTGGCAGCCCGCTGCTGCCCACGGGGGCCAGGCCTCCTCTCCTGTGAGGGCCACGCACGCACTTGTAAGAACAAGCTGCCCTCTGGTTCTATGCATATTTGCTGGGAAGTTCTTCCTATAGTGTAACCTTAACCCTTCTGGCTGCCTTATCTACCACCCCAAGACAGTCTTGGCAGCTCTGAAGGGCCAGGGCCAGGTTGTGTTTTTGATTTGTTTTTCCTAACATGTACAGAGCACTTACCTGCATGCCAAGCACTGTTTAAGAACATGACATGTGTTAACTCATTTAATCCTTCTAGCAATTTGTATGAGGTAGGTACTATTATTATCCCTGTCTTGATGAGGAAACTGAGGTACGGAGAAGCTAGGTAATTTGCCTAAGATCACACAGCTAGTGTCTGGAAGGGGGTTAGGAAGCCCTCAGGGTTTTAACCCACCAGAGCCAGCATCTGTGTTGGGGTCAGGGTTCCTGAACAGTCTGGGCTGGCCTGAGCTAGACGTCAGGAACAGGAAAAGAACGCACCCTGAATGTTCCTCCCTCCTGAGCGAGTCTTCCGACACCTGCGAGAAAGGTGGGCAGGACTGTACCCCTGCCTGCCGGAAAGGGGGCGGGCCCACAGAGGTGTTGAGATTTGCCAGTCTCTCGGCTAGCAGGTAGCAGAGCCCTGGCCCCTTGACTGTCAGCCCTGAACTCACTGTATCTGAAGCAAGATGGGAGAAGGTATGTGAAGTCCACTTGGACCTGGGCCTGGGTGAGAGGTGCGGACACTGAAAAGTGAGAACGGGAGGGCCTGCCGTGGTGTCCTTTAGCGACAGGAGAGAGCTTCCATGCTGGGAGAGGTTGAATCTATGCCAGGCTCTGGTCTAAGTGTTTTTAAATTGGCATTTTCTGAGTTTTTCAGACAAGGCACAGACCGGCTAAATGTCCAAGGTCACTCCAGTAGCACGCGGGGGAACTGGCCTTTGAACTCTGTCTGTGAGCTCATGGCCATGGCCCAGAGAGGGGTGGTGAATAGCCCAGGGTCACACAGCCCCAGAACCAGGAGCTACTGGCTTCCTTCCAGCCCAGGAAAAGCAATGACACCTGACTCCTAGCCAACTGGGGGCGGAGCAGAGGTGGAGCTAGCGAGACCCGGTGGCTTCTCTGAGAACCACAGCACAGGCGGCAGAGTGGCCCGGAGCAGCATGAGGCAGAGCTGGGGACCAGGGCTGCTGCTCCTGGGAGCCGTGGTCCTCATAGAGGGTGAGCCACCTGTGTTTGAGTGGGTGGGGGAGTGGTATGGTGGGGGTTCAGGGGCCACCCTCTGCCCAGCAGCCCCTGCAGCTTGGTGTGTGTGAGGAAGACTGCCTGTGGGTGACAGTCCACCGGTGGTGGTACAGCCATGTCTGGCTGTGGGGGGGGACGTCTGTGTGTCTGTCTGTGTCAAAAAGGGTGTGATATTCTTGGGCTGGAGGAGTCTGTCTGCAGGGCTGTCAGTGCCTGTGTGTGATCCCTGTGCCCCCGTCTGCCCCTCTACCTCCAGCAAGACCTTAGGCAAGTTCTGAGACCTTTAGCCTCAGTCTCCCAGCCTTTGCCTCTGCCCCATCTCTCCAGGCTCAGATGTGCAGTGGGTGTGTCTGCGTGTGCCTATTATGGGGAAGAGGCAGGGCAGGAGACTCTTTGGTTGAGTCTGGCAGTTTCTGGAAAGGTGGGGGAGTCTGAGTCGTCAAAATGGGTGGACATGACGCAGGCCTCTAATCCTTCCTCCTCGGCCTCCATGGCTGAGGGCACAATTAAGCTAATGCTCTCCACACTCACTGGCTGCCTCCTGACTCAGTGGCGGGGGCAGGAGTTGGGGTTCTGAAGCGTGGAGGAGGGCTGGCCTGGTCCCAAGCTGAACCCCAGGCCCTGCTCCTCAGGCCTGGAGTGCTGAGCACAGCTGAGGGAGGAGAGTTAATTACTGAGCAGATGCTCTGAGTAGGTTCCAATAAAAGCTGTTCCTGGACCACACATAAATATTTTCATTCTGGGAGGGGCTGGTGAGGTAGCCACAGAGTCATCGGCAAGGGCCCAGGGCCTATCCCCCAACCTCTCCCCTCCACCAAACCTGGGCCAGCCAGGGAAGGCTCCCCCAAGTGTCACCCGTGTCTCTCTCTTCCCAGGTCTTCAGGCAGCTCAGCGTGGTAAGCTCTGGGGACACGGGGCTTGGGCCTTCCCGGGGTCTGGATGGACCCTGTGAGGACAGGATGGGGGCCTGCTCTCCTGACCCACCTCTCTCCACAGCCTGCGGGCAGCGCGGCCCTGGCCCCCCTGAGCCTCAGGAGGGCAGCACGGGGCCTGGCGAGTGGCCGTGGCAGGCCAGTGTGCGGAGGCAGGGGGTGCACATCTGCAGTGGCTCCCTGGTGGCGGACACCTGGGTCCTCACGGCTGCCCACTGCTTTGAAAAGTGAGTTGTGGCTGGGCTCCGACAGGGCTGCCGACTTTGGGGGTGGGTGATGTGTCCCCAAACGCCACAGTGCTGATCCCTGCCCTTAGAATAACAAAGGACTGTTTACTGAGACTCTGCGATGTGCCAGGTACTTACTATCAAGTTGCTCTTAACAGCCTTCATGGCAGAAGCCTTACAAACGAGAAACAGGTTGGGAGAAGGAAAGGCCTTGCTTAAAGCCACAGATGGTATTTGTCCGTTCACCTACCTTGTTCTGTCTTCCTTGGTGCACTGTCCCCCTCTGCACTCCATGCCTGGGCCTCGTCCCTCTCTTTCCAGAGCGGCATTGACAGAACTGAGCTCCTGGTCCGTTGTTCTGGGCTCTCTGCAGCGTGAGGGGCTGAGCCCCGGGGCTGAGGAGGTCGGGGTGACTTCTCTGCAGCTGCCCAGGGCCTACAACCACTACAGCCAGGGCTCAGACCTGGCCCTGCTACGGCTCGCCCACCCCACAGCCCACACGCCCCTCTGCTTGCCCAGACCTGCCCATCGCTTCCCCTTTGGGACCTCTTGCTGGGCCACTGGCTGGGACCAGGACATTAGTGATGGTAAGTGCTGCCCCAGGCTGAAGCCCAAAGAGGCAGTCCTCTTGCCCAAGGTGACAGCCTCAGCTGGCAACGGTCTCTGCTTCTAGTCTTCCTTGCTCCCCAGAGCCCAGACTCCAGCCCCAAGCCCGTCTTTTTCCAGCTCCCAGGATCCTACGGAATCTGCGCCTGCGTCTAATCAGCCGCCCCACGTGTAACTGTCTCTACAACAGGCTGCACCAGCGGCTGCTGGCCAGCCCGGCCCGGCCTGGGATGCTGTGTGGGGGTGCCCAGCCCGGGGTGCAGGGGCCCTGCCAGGTCTGAAGGGGAGGAGAGGGGAAGGAAGCAGAGGGGAGGGGGCCTGGCACAGGGATGGGTGGAAGGGCTGCAGAGGATGTCTGCCCAGGGCTGGGCTCAGGTGTCTGTCCTTGACTCCATTGCCTGCTTCAGGGAGATTCTGGGGGCCCCGTGCTGTGCCATGAGCCTGATGGACACTGGGTTCAGGCTGGGATCATCAGCTTCACATCAAGCTGTGCCCAGGAAGACACTCCCGTGCTGCTGACTGACACGGCTGCCCACAGCTCCTGGCTGCAGGCTCGCGCTGGGGGCGCAGCCTTTCTGGCCCAGAACCCAGAGGCCTTGCAGATCAGTGATGAGGACAGCTGTGTAGGTATGCGCAGAGGCTGTTAAGAGTGTGATATGTGGGGACAGCCAGGCTTGCGAGGACTTCTGGGCAGCAGGTGGAAGCCACGGTGAAATAAATTTCAGTTTGCAATAGAGAATTGATACAGGGCATCCACAAACTGCCATATGCCAATGAGGGGGATTTTAAGGCCCACCCCTGAGTCTCTAGGATGGGAACAGCCCCATTTAGGGCTGAGATGTTCCAGAACTTTCTGGGTTTGGAGTTAGGTAGAGGGACCTGTGATCTAGCTGAAGGTTTTGGGGCCTTGCTGCACATTTCCTAGGAAGACCCAGTGAGACTGGACAGGGCAGGGCTCCCACTCAGAATTCTAGCGTAAGTGATTACCACACAAATTGCATGCAAAATAATTCCTGAGACGGAAGCTATGTCTTGATGGTAAGAGAAGCCCGAGTGAGCCAGGAATGCTGGAGCCAGTCCAAGCCCGGAGGGGTGCAGACAGGTGGGGCGGAGGGATGATGAGCAGGCCACTCCCTTGAGGCTGGACCGTCAGTTAAAAGCTTAGGCCCTGGCTTTTGAATATCAAATCTGCTACTTACCTGTAGTTATTGAGCTAGAAAGTCACTTAACCTTTCGGGAACTTTGGTTACAGGGGTAACAAAATTCAACTTAAAAGGTCGTTGTGAGGATTAGATAGCATGTGGGAAGCACTTAGCAAGAAGGCAGATGGTAATCCATCCGTTTCAGCCTGCGGATCCCTGAGGGGAGAAGGTCCCCAGGCAGAAGCCCCCTCCCCATGGCCCTGGGATGCCAGGCTGAAGCACCAGGGGAAGCTGGCCTGTGGCGGAGCCCTGGTGTCAGAGGAGGTGGTGCTGACTGCTGCCCACTGCTTCATTGGGTGAGCCCTGTCTCCCTCACCTTTGTACCCCCGCCCCCCTCACCCCCACTCCCGCCGCCCAATGCTGTCAGTGCTGTCTCTGCACAGGCGGCAGAGCCCAGAGGAGTGGAGCGTAAGGCTGGCGGCCGGACCAGAGGAGCACAGCCTCAAGCAACTCATCCTGCATGGGGCTTACACCCACCTCGAGGGGGGCTACGATGTGGCCCTGCTGTTGCTGGCCCAGCCTGTGACCTTAGGCCCCAGCCTGAGGCCCCTCTGCCTGCCCTATGCTGACCATCACCTGCCCGATGGGGAACGTGGCTGGGTCTTGGGGCTGGCCCACCAAGGAGCAGGTATGTGGGACAGGGCCACCGGCGGCTCTCCATCCAGCCTCGAGGCCACTGGGGCAGTCGGGTCTTTCCCTCCCCCCACCACAGGCACCAGCTCCCCTCAGACAGTGCCTGTCACCCTCCTGGGGCCTAGGGCCTGCGGCCGGCTGCTTACTGCCCTCGGGAGCGATGGCACCTCCATTCTGCCAGAGATGGGGCTTGGGCCTTCCCGGGGTCTGGATGGACCCTGTGAGGACAGGATGGGGGCCTGCTCTCCTGACCCACCTCTCTCCACAGCCTGCGGGCAGCGCGGCCCTGGCCCCCCTGAGCCTCAGGAGGGCAGCACGGGGCCTGGCGAGTGGCCGTGGCAGGCCAGTGTGCGGAGGCAGGGGGTGCACATCTGCAGTGGCTCCCTGGTGGCGGACACCTGGGTCCTCACGGCTGCCCACTGCTTTGAAAAGTGAGTTGTGGCTGGGCTCCGACAGGGCTGCCGACTTTGGGGGTGGGTGATGTGTCCCCAAACTCCACAGTGCTGATCCCTGCCCTTAGAATAACAAAGGACTGTTTACTGAGACTCTGCGATGTGCCAGGTACTTACTATCAAGTTGCTCTTAACAGCCTTCATGGCAGAAGCCTTACAAACGAGAAACAGGTTGGGAGAAGGAAAGGCCTTGCTTAAAGCCACAGATGGTATTTGTCCGTTCACCTACCTTGTTCTGTCTTCCTTGGTGCACTGTCCCCCTCTGCACTCCATGCCTGGGCCTCGTCCCTCTCTTTCCAGAGCGGCATTGACAGAACTGAGCTCCTGGTCCGTTGTCCTGGGCTCTCTGCAGCGTGAGGGGCTGAGCCCCGGGGCTGAGGAGGTCGGGGTGACTTCTCTGCAGCTGCCCAGGGCCTACAACCACTACAGCCAGGGCTCAGACCTGGCCCTGCTACGGCTCGCCCACCCCACAGCCCACACGCCCCTCTGCTTGCCCAGACCTGCCCATCGCTTCCCCTTTGGGACCTCTTGCTGGGCCACTGGCTGGGACCAGGACATTAGTGATGGTAAGTGCTGCCCCAGGCTGAAGCCCAAAGAGGCAGTCCTCTTGCCCAAGGTGACAGCCTCAGCTGGCAACGGTCTCTGCTTCTAGTCTTCCTTGCTCCCCAGAGCCCAGACTCCAGCCCCAAGCCCGTCTTTTTCCAGCTCCCAGGATCCTACGGAATCTGCGCCTGCGTCTAATCAGCCGCCCCACGTGTAACTGTCTCTACAACAGGCTGCACCAGCGGCTGCTGGCCAGCCCGGCCCGGCCTGGGATGCTGTGTGGGGGTGCCCAGCCCGGGGTGCAGGGGCCCTGCCAGGTCTGAAGGGGAGGAGAGGGGCAGGAAGCAGAGGGGAGGGGGCCTGGCACAGGGATGGGTGGAAGGGCTGCAGAGGATGTCTGCCCAGGGCTGGGCTCAGGTGTCTGTCCTTGACTCCATTGCCTGCTTCAGGGAGATTCTGGGGGCCCCGTGCTGTGCCATGAGCCTGATGGACACTGGGTTCAGGCTGGGATCATCAGCTTCACATCAAGCTGTGCCCAGGAAGACACTCCCGTGCTGCTGACTGACACGGCTGCCCACAGCTCCTGGCTGCAGGCTCGCGCTGGGGGCGCAGCCTTTCTGGCCCAGAACCCAGAGGCCTTGCAGATCAGTGATGAGGACAGCTGTGTAGGTATGCGCAGAGGCTGTTAAGAGTGTGATATGTGGGGACAGCCAGGCTTGCGAGGACTTCTGGGCAGCAGGTGGAAGCCACGGTGAAATAAATTTCAGTTTGCAATAGAGAATTGATACAGGGCATCCACAAACTGCCATATGCCAATGAGGGGGATTTTAAGGCCCACCCCTGAGTCTCTAGGATGGGAACAGCCCCATTTAGGGCTGAGATGTTCCAGAACTTTCTGGGTTTGGAGTTAGGTAGAGGGACCTGTGATCTAGCTGAAGGTTTTGGGGCCTTGCTGCACATTTCCTAGGAAGACCCAGTGAGACTGGACAGGGCAGGGCTCCCACTCAGAATTCTAGCGTAAGTGATTACCACACAAATTGCATGCAAAATAATTCCTGAGACGGAAGCTATGTCTTGATGGTAAGAGAAGCCCGAGTGAGCCAGGAATGCTGGAGCCAGTCCAAGCCCGGAGGGGTGCAGACAGGTGGGGCGGAGGGATGATGAGCAGGCCACTCCCTTGAGGCTGGACCGTCAGTTAAAAGCTTAGGCCCTGGCTTTTGAATATCAAATCTGCTACTTACCTGTAGTTATTGAGCTAGAAAGTCACTTAACCTTTCGGGAACTTTGGTTACAGGGGTAACAAAATTCAACTTAAAAGGTCGTTGTGAGGATTAGATAGCATGTGGGAAGCACTTAGCTAGCAAGAAGGCAGATGGTAATCCATCCGTTTCAGCCTGCGGATCCCTGAGGGGAGAAGGTCCCCAGGCAGAAGCCCCCTCCCCATGGCCCTGGGATGCCAGGCTGAAGCACCAGGGGAAGCTGGCCTGTGGCGGAGCCCTGGTGTCAGAGGAGGTGGTGCTGACTGCTGCCCACTGCTTCATTGGGTGAGCCCTGTCTCCCTCACCTTTGTACCCCCCGCCCCCCTCACCCCCACTCCCGCCGCCCAATGCTGTCAGTGCTGTCTCTGCACAGGCGGCAGAGCCCAGAGGAGTGGAGCGTAAGGCTGGCGGCCGGACCAGAGGAGCACAGCCTCAAGCAACTCATCCTGCATGGGGCTTACACCCACCTCGAGGGGGGCTACGATGTGGCCCTGCTGTTGCTGGCCCAGCCTGTGACCTTAGGCCCCAGCCTGAGGCCCCTCTGCCTGCCCTATGCTGACCATCACCTGCCCGATGGGGAACGTGGCTGGGTCTTGGGGCTGGCCCACCAAGGAGCAGGTATGTGGGACAGGGCCACCGGCGGCTCTCCATCCAGCCTCGAGGCCACTGGGGCAGTCGGGTCTTTCCCTCCCCCCACCACAGGCACCAGCTCCCCTCAGACAGTGCCTGTCACCCTCCTGGGGCCTAGGGCCTGCGGCCGGCTGCTTACTGCCCTCGGGAGCGATGGCACCTCCATTCTGCCAGAGATGGTGTGCACCAGTGTTGTGGGTGAGCCGCCCGGCTGTGAGGTAAGCTCCAGTCCCCCAAACCTTACCCCACAGTCCCCTGGCATCCTCAGCCTGCAGCTCATGTACAGGCCTCCCGTCCTGCCCCTCACCTCAAGTTCAGCCTTTCTGCCCCTCACAACTGCTGAGGGGTAAGAGGAAGTCACCCAGTGTCACTGACCCCTGGCAGGGCCTGTCCGGGGCACCACTGGTGCTTGAGGTGAGGGGCACATGGTTCCTGGCTGGGCTACACAGCTTTGGAGATGCCTGCCAGGGCCCCGCGCGGCCTGCAGTCTTCACGGCACTCCCCACCTACGAGAACTGGGTCAGCAGTTTGGACTGGCAGGTCTACTTCTCCAAGGAGCCCGAGCCGGAGCCCGAGCCTGAGCCCGGAAGCTGCCTGGCCAATATGAGTATGTGGCCCTGGGGCCTTCTGCTGACTCTTCCCTCTCCAGACCCCTCTCTCTGTAAGATCTGATCTGAGTCACCTCTAGATGCCCTGAGTGGGGTGGAGCGGTAGACAGACCCATCTGGATTCAAATTCTGTCATCGTGAGACTTGGAACAGGCCTCTCAACCTCTGAACCTGTTTTCTCATCCCTCGTGGGGGCTGTGTGGCACCTCCTTCCTCCTCCTTCCAGGAGGAGAGTGTGAGGAGAGGCCACCACCCACCTCTTCCTCTCCCACAGGCCAACCAGCTGACTGCTGACAGGTGGCTCTGGGATGCTGCAGACACATCACTGCCTCTGCCCCTCTCCATTCCCCCCACCCACACAATTCCAGGCCCTGGGCAGGCCCCAAAGCCCAGTGGATTGGCAGCTGCCCCGTCCCCCCCCCTGCAGGACAGGGACTTGTCACCTGTAGGTGCTCCCCGCTCTCAGCTCTGCTCTCCGACGCAGGCGTCCCACTCTCCCCTCTTCTTCATCCCCTCACATATAACCACACCAGCCACATACTTGGAAAATGTTCTTTTTTGGCGGGGGAAGGGGACTGGTGGTGCAATTTTCCTTTTTTTAAACTTAAATAAATTGTTACAAAATAGACTTTAGAAAATAAGTTACAAATTGTAGCAAAAGCCCCCCCTCCCCCCTCCACAGGCAACATTCCTATCCCTGGCTCTCTCTGAATCTGCCTCCCTGGTGTTGGAACCCGGTGGGTGAGGGTGGTGAGGGTAGCCCCGCATCCCGCACACCCTGGCACCAGGTTTCTTGTGGGACGAGCATAATGAATTGCATGGTGACCAAGGCTGGGGAAGGAGGCCCTTCACGGACAGGGACGTGGGAGAGAAGCCAGGGGAGAGGAGAGATGGGGATGCCCAAACTACTCCTGAGTAGAACATGGAGGTCAAACCTTTCCCTGCAACCTGCACTCTTGCCCTGTATTGATCTTTGGAGAATTGAAGTTCAGAGGGAGAAGCTGAGATCTGCAGGCCACTGGGGTGAAGGGTCCAGAAGTGGGGTCGTGGGGGTGGGTGGAGGGGGCAATGACAGGCCCGCTGCTGGTGCCTTTGAGGCTCCTGGGGAGAGAGAAGGTACTGAGGGGGCACACTCCATACAGCTTGTACTCCCCTCCCCAGCCCTGCCCATGGCCCGAGGAACCTGTAGGAGAGCCCTATCGCCCTACGACTTCCACTGGGTTTCCCAGGCTTGGCTAACTGGCTCCTCACTCGTTCCCTTAAGGTTACAAGAAACCTTTCACCTTGAACGCCATCTCATCAGCTCTCTTAGGGGACTCTCAGCCACCATCCCCTCCTTCCCTGACAATTTCTGGTCAAGGGCCCGCCATCTCAGGGCACCCATCCTTGGTGGCCACTAAGTGGAATGGGTTCTGGGAGATCTCTAGAGGTGAAGCGAGCAAGCCCAGCGCTTGCTGGGGGAATGGGCTGTCCCACTCTTCCAGCTCATCTTCCAGTTTGGCTGGGTGGAGGTGACTCCGTGGAGATTCCCCGATAGAGAAGGGTGATAGGGGCTAATCACTGTTGTTACTACAGCTGGGCCTGGCTTCAAAGGAACTATCATCTGTGACTCAGCCCTCCAGTTAAAGGTGTGCTGGCGGTAGGGGGTGTGCAGGTAGAAAGGGTGGTTTGGTTGGATCCTAAAAAGCATACACAGCAGACAGAGAAAAGGGCTGAATAAAGAGAAGAGATGTGAGGCAATACTAGTAGGAAAGGACCAAAGGTCTAGTTTCCAAGAAAAGCGGAGGGGGAGCAGAGACCAGATGCAGGGAAACAGGGACAGGGAGCTGGGGGCCATTCAGTGGCCTAGTTTCTCTGGCCAAGTCAGCACTGAAGCCACAAAGTCCAGCCTGGGGGTGCCTCCCTCAGCCCCTTCCTCATTCCCTGACTCCCTGCCTACTCTAGGGAAGAGCAGAACCTAGATAATCTTTTCCCCTGGGAGTCATTACTGGCTGGATCAGGAGGGTTTCCAGATGTAGCAGCCAGATGGTACCCAGCTGCCTTCCCTCCCAAAACGAAGACTCCTCTTTGGCTCAGGCACAGCAGAGGAGCCCAGGCAGCGGTCTCTGCCCCTGCCCAGTCCTTATCCCACCCCACCATGCTATCTATTTACCTGACCCAGGGGTTCAGATCTAGGCCACTCAAAGGACAGCATCTTCAAACTAGTTTTCTCATTCCATACCCAAGCTTCTGGTCACCTCTCAGACCCATAGGACCCTTTCCTCTCACTCCTTGCTTCCCCACTACCTTGGGGCCAGATTTTGCCCTCCACTGTATGCCCACCTCCTCTGGGACCCTTCAGTCCTCTGCCCATTCATATCCCCGTACCAGAGTTGGCCACTGTCCGTTCCTCCTGGTGCTGCTGCTGGTGCTGCAGAAAGCTGATGCGGCGGCGGAAATGGCGGGGACAATGGGGGCAGGTGAAGGGCCCCTCCTGGGGTGCATGGACCCGCCCGTGGCCCTCCAGCCGGGCAGCTGTCCGGAAGGCCTTGCCACAGATGCTGCAGCGATGGCGTTTGGGGTCCGTGTGGGTCCTGCCATGGTTCTTAAGGGAAAGCAGGTTGGGTAGAAGTTTGGGACAGAGGGAGCAAGGATAGAGTCCAGTGGTGTGGGCCTTCTGGTGGTTCAACAAGCTACCGGCATGGCGGTATGAACGCCCACACTGGGCACAGCGGAAGGGCCGGTCCTCATCTTCAGCCACTGTGGACTTTACTCCCTGCCCTTCTTTAGCTCTCTCAGTATTCTCTCCTGGGGCCCGGGGGGGATCTGTTGGGGCCTTCTGGGCTTTCCCTTGACCAGCGACATCTACCTCATCCTCCACAGTCCCAGCTTTGGGGCCTCTGGCCTCCTCTATCTGGGGTGGCACCTGACTGAGGCCCTTGGCATGAGTTTGCAGGTGGCTGGCTAGTTCATGTTGGAACGGAAAGGTTTTGCCACAGTCAGGGCAGGCAAAGGTCTGGGAAGATACGTGGTTGTGGCTGTGACTCTCAGTGGCCACAGGATTCAGGAACTCCTTGGAGCAGAGCAGGCAATAGTGGCAGTCTGCCTTATGGGTGTGGTGGTTCAAGGGGCCTTCCGACTGGCAGGTCTTACCACAACGGCAGCAGGAAAAGGGGTGGCTCTCTGGTTGGAGCTGAGGGGTGCTGTCTCTATTGTCCCAGCTGTCCACATGACTAGGTCCATTGGGCTGGCTGTTGCCAAGGTGGCAAGAACTTATGGGGACACTGTCTGCTGACTCCTCTTCTGGCTTGGTCAGTACATGACCCTGAGGAACCCAATCTCCATCATGATTCACCGGTCCCCTATCTCCTTGCCATCCATCCGTTTGCCCCATGCCCCAGGGTACTGGCTCTGTGGCTTCTGAACCTGCTGACCTGCTGGGGCTATGACTCTGCTCCCCTGGCCTCCTGGCTCCACGCTGCAGCTGGGGAACTGACTCAGTACCACCAGATCTGTCCTCCAGTCCCTTGTCGTCAGCGAGGTTCCCCTTGCTGCCCTCTGTGCCTCCAGGACCTCCCTGACCACTTTTGGTCTCCTCCTCATGCTCTCGCAAGTGCCGCTCCAGAGAACGCCGGCCCGGGAAGCCCTGGCCACAGAGGGCGCAGCGGACAGCT